CAAAAAAAAAAAAAAAAAAAAAAACCCACAAAAACAAACATAAACTGCATGAAGGACGCGTGCTGCCATGCAATCATTGCAAACATCAGTAGGCAGAATTATACATTTATGGGACGTGACCCCATTCTCTAGAAATTCTGTGATTTAGTCTGGCTATTTGTGAACTCTGGTTATTGCCTGCTCAATAAGATGACTTAGCAGAGGTCCAAGGTGAAGCCGGATTCTTCTGTACTAGTAGGATAATTATGGGGACACCAGTACTTTGTATGGTCCCTCTGGCTGTCTAAAATTTGTATGTCTACCCAATACCCTGAAAAAATTGGGTTTATGAAGTGGGATGTTGTACTGCTATTTGTTATATTGCTTGCAGCCCTAGGAAAATACAGGAAGACCCAAAAAGCCTATGTGTGGGTAGAAAAAATTATAACGCAAGTTTAGAATTCCTACACATATAATCTACATTACAACGTTTTCATTGGTGAAAATGAAATTAGGGTCAGTTTTAACCTATTTTTGCCAACGTGTGCAATTTTTGAAAATTTTTCTGCATGAAATTCATATATTACCTAAAAAAATTCAAAGAACAAGAATTTGAAGAGAAAAACTCGTATTATGTTCCATTGTTACGTGCCATTCCCAAAAGGATCACTAGGCATAGGATTAATACAATGTACCATAGGAGTGAGGAGCTGAGGGACAGAGATGAAAACAGCAGCCTACCCTAGAGAGGGAACAGGGAAACATGCAGCTACATAATGTGTCTACTATCTTGAGTCTTTTTATTCCAGATTGCTTAGCTAATTCTGAGTACAGGTGGAAATACTGTACAAAAGGAAGAATGGGGAGTGTCTTAGTTACTTTTTCACTGCTGGGACAAAATATTCAACACTCACAAGAGTTAAAGGGAGAAAGATTTATTGCAGCTCCCAGTTTGTAGAGGTTTCAGACCATAGTTGGCTGGCTCTAAGGCAGGGCAGCATGGCAGAGGGACATTTCAGAGGAGAAACAGTCCACAGCAGGACAGGCAAGAAGGCAGCAAGCAGCAAGCCTCCCTTTCCTTTTTATGCCATTTAGGCTACAAGACTTCTGGATGGTATCACCCACAACCAGGGCGCCTTCCCATTATGCACACCATGAACTATGATGAACCAGTTAGTGGACTAGTCCAGTACCACATACCCTTAAGCCCAGTATCACACACCTCAAATCCAGCCAGCTCTGAAAAGCCCCGTGTATCGAGTGCATGAGTCTTTAGTGGGACATCTAGATACAAGCCATAACGGAAAATACTGTGTGGCTTAATTAATAAATTAGTTCAGAAGTATACACCAAGCACCTACTGTGTGCCAGGCACTGCTGAAAATATCGGGAGAAGCAAAACCATACGATCCTGTTTTCCTGAGGCTTAGAGTTTCACAGGGGAGACCGGCATGAATCTAATAACTATGTATGATGACTGTACAGTAGCATGAAGACTATGATGGAGAGGCATGTGTAGCTGGGTGGGCTTATAATGGATTTGACTCAGGGGAGATCTTTAATGAAGTAATGAAGGAATTCCTACATCAGTGTGAAATGCCTTTCCTTATATTCTGATTCTAATTAGCATTCAGTTCATCAAACCACCTTTTAACTGTGCCAACCCTAACATAAAGGTATACATCCTCTGAAGTATAGTTGAGCAACAACTGCATTTTAGAAACTGGTGAATGGGTGGACTGATAGGTATGTATGTCTGTTACCTAAGACAACCAAGGTGTTTATCCTGATACACAATCGCCAAGGCCGGAGGTTCTTATTTGTGGTTCTTTTCTTGCCTATAACACCAGTGGCGTACCTGTCATAGTGCTGCATCTCCCTGATGCTTCAGTGGTCACAACTTGAAGACAATTTCTGAAAGTACTTCATTACACTGGGGGAATTCCTAAATCCTCCACCTCCTCTTTTCTCACCTTGGAGACTTGAGCTCTGTATATCAACTTTCCCAGATCTTTGAGCCATCGGAACGGTTGGATTAAACTGGGTTAAGACTCTGTTACTGCGCCAGCCAGGAACAGCTCCTCCCACTGACAGGCACACACATTTTAAATATTTTGAACAGAATTGTTATGATACCATTAATATTGCTTAAAGGCTAAGGCACCAGCCAGAAGTAGAATGTCTTGTAGATATTTTCTACTGCATTATAACTTCATCTACAGTACGGTTGTCCAGTTACTAAAACCTTTTCTAACTGAAACAAACAGTAAGCTTTGTATAAGGTTTTGCAATTTGATTAACATGGGGAAAGATGATGTAATGTAATACAACAGGTTTCTTCTTGGCAAGCAATTCCCTAGGTGTCTGAGGTAACTGGAAAATTCAAGATGGTCCCTCAGGTACACAAAATTTACGCAACACGTTTGAGAAGGCTGAGAATTCTTGCCCAAATGATTTTTTGTTAAATGAAAAACATTGGGGTTTGTGAGAAAGGTAGGCTTTTGAAAACAGATACAAGTACATCCAAGCTACAAATACAAATTAGATCTTTATTCATTCAACATATTAACGTCTCTATTATGTTCGAAGAAATGTCCTACGTAAGGACAATACGTTATTAAATTTCAAATTCCTGCCCTCCTAGAGCTTACACTCTCAAAAAGACAGACACTGAACAGAATATCTGTTAGACAGTGATGAGGCCGAGTCAGGGTGAGATGGAGCATCAGGTGGGATGTTGCAGGGCTGTGGGGGACCTCACTCATAGCATGGTAGTTGACACAGGAACAGAAAGCTGAAGAAATCAGTGAACTATGTAAGTATCTGTGAGATGTGCACTACAAATGGAGGGACAGTGATTGTAAAGGCCCCAGGATGGAGTGCTTGGAGTTGGAGGAGGACCAGGCAGGTCCATCTGGCTGAAACAGGAAACGAGGAAAGAGCAAGGGTCCAGATCCTGCTGGTCATCCATGCTGATGTGAAGCTGATCACTGACTTCTGTTCTGAGAGGAAGGTGGGAAGGTTTCAAGCAGAAGACTGACAAGACCTGACATATTTTCTAAGGATCTGACTATAAGGTGAATAATGTAGTGTGAAGAGTAATGGTATGCAAAGAGTCTAGTTAGAAGAGGGATACAAACCTTCCTGTGAGAAATGCCAGGCGAGGATGATGCAGTGGAGGTGGACACCGACACATTCTGAAAGTAGGGCTGATAGGATTTGTCCATGGATTGGGATATAATGTGTGACAGAAGTTTTAAGCGTGTTTCCAAGGTTATTGGCTCCACCAGCTCTAAGGATGTACTGATGCTTTCCTTTTAAAGAGAAGAAGACTGCAGGAGAAGCGGTTTGGTGGTAGTGAGTACATGGAAATGAGAACTGGAAACTGGAAGACTGTTAGAGACATCTTGAATTGCAAGTGCCTATTGTACATGCAAGGGGAGATGTTAAGCAAGCTGTTGGACCTAATACAAGAGAGATGAGACTGAGAGATAAATTTGGGAGTCGTAAGTATATAAAGAGTATTTGAAGTCAGGGTAGGATGAGGTCGTCTATAGAGTGGGAGAAAAAGCAAATGCAATAACTGATCCTTGGCTCCCTCTGATATGTAGAGAACAGGAAGGCAAGAAGGAACAATGAGACAGGAGAATCAAGAAGGGTGATCCCACATAAAACAAGTGAAGATAGTATTTCATGGAGGAAGAAGCAATCTGCTCTGTTAAATGCTGGTGACAGGCCAAAAAGGAGAATGACTGAGAAGTAACACTGCATAGTGACCTTGACAAGAACTATTGCAAAAAATCGAGTCTTAAGAATATCAGATCAATTGGATTGAATTTCAGAGGCAATGTAAGGAGGGCTCTATCAACAGCACCCTACAGTTTTTAGGATGGCATAGAAATTGGGTGCCCGCATATAAAATTGTTATGGACCAACTGTGTCCCCCAAAGTTGAAGCCCTAATCCCCAATATATCTGAAAAACAAGCCTTTAATAAGGCAAATAAAGGTTAAATTGTGTCAAATAAGGTTAAATAGGGCCCTAATCCAACAGGGCCATAGGTATCCTTAGAAGAGAAGAAAGAGATACCAGGAGATACACAGGGAAAGGCTATGTGAGGATTTGGTGAGAAAGCTATCACCTATCATCCACGGAGAGATGCCTTATCAAAAACCAATCCCGCCAGCACCTTTATCTTGGACTTTCAAAAAAAAAAAAAAGTGACCATGGCAGATTGTATGCAAGAGTGATTATAATAGTCTATAGTATAGATTTACGTGAGAAAAATACAGGGAAGGACATGAGGGTTGAGAGGAACAGTATGAAGGGGGCAGAGTCACTGCATTATGGATTCCAAGGAAGTAGAATTAGTAGAGTCAGATTATTACATCAGGTAAGCAGGAAAGATGAGAGCCTGTGGTTATAGGATGCTTGAAATAGAGATGAAACAGAGGGCAAATATGAAATCAAGATCGAGGGTCTGATCATACAAGTTAGGTAGGGGAGAAAAGAACACTGGAGAACTGGTCAGAGAACTAAGAAGTCCATGAGGGCACTGAATTATTTGAAGACCGACGAAGAGCAGTACTGGAGTGATAGCAAGCTTGATCCTATAATCTTCAAAGAATAAGAAACAATGATTTGGGGCTCTTTAGATGGTCCAACCATGGATGAATAGCAAATTGTACAGTTTAAAGGCATGAGTTTCAAGGCTGGCCATGTTTAGAACAGCAGTAGGGATCATGGTCTAGAAGACAGTTTTTTCACTGCGGCCCTAAAGACATCTTCACCTGGGTAATTCCTTGCCTGGAGGTGGGGGTGGGGCAAATCACCCCTGATTGAGAATCATGGTCTTAAAGGAGCCATGATGAGCTAAAAGGACCCCTGATCATGGGTTCAGTAATAGAAGGAGAAAGGGTAAATAGCTAGAGGGTATCAGAGGCAGTAGTGTTTTCTGGGAAGATCAGATCTGGTTAGAGAAAGAGACTGAAGGGAATGTTTCCAGAAAAGGATGAGAGTATAGATAATACCTTAGTGTTTATGGCTCCAATGTAGCCCACATCTGCCAGCCTCAAGGAGGAAACGTATTCCATGACGATCTGAGTCATCGTTTCATTACTTCACTTCCTTTGCCTGACCCAATTCCCCACTCACATGAGTCACCCACTACTTAGGGGATCCAACAATGCAAATTTCAGTGATGTTATTTAATACATGCTGAGTTTATTACTATTTAAGAAATTAAGAGTCCCAGAAGAACACACAAAATATATACAAAGACGACCTTGGCAGAACTGAGGAACCAGTGCTGTCTACATCCTTTCTGAAGAATTCTTGAGCAGCTAAGAAGTTACCATCTTAAGTAACTTGTAAGTCAAAGCTGCCAGCTAAGTTTACAGATACACAGACATAAGCCAAGATTACTGTCTAAAAATCAAAGTGAAGTGAGGAGGGTGAAATTGTCTAAAATGTTTGGTATGAGAAGTGCAATAGATGTATGAGATCTATTTCAGTCTCATTCCCTTCATTAACTTTCAACTTGTATGCACTCTACCACATAGTGATTTTGTAGGGTATGGGAGTCGGGGATGAGCACGGTGCATAAAGGGAGAGGCCACCCACAAAAACATCCAAGTCCTGTTAAAATGATTACAGAGCATGTATCAGGAAATGCACTGAAAATGTGCTAGCAAAAAGTGGATAGACTAAACAGAGGTTTTCATTCTCTGGGGGAAACGGCTAAATAGTATGTAGCTCAGGGATACATTTAAAAGGTTATCATTTATCAGAAAGTAAGGAAATCAATTACACCACCTACCATGATCTCTAGTTTCCTATGGCATAGACACTTCCACACACATAGCCTCCTGTAGTATGGAAAGAACACTGCCCACCTACCTTTAGGAGAAACGTGTGCTCAACCATGCACAAGTACAACCAGTGAGTAACTCACAGAAAAGCACTGGAGCTCTAATGTCAGATAAGGCACTTTGTTTTTAATTCTTCAATCTCTTCAGAATTCATGAAGCTCTGGGGTCCTCTGGAAACCTGCAGCTTTACCAGACTGGTTTTGTACTCAGGACATCATCAGAGCGCCACAGTTCTTAGCAGACTCCTCGGTGTGCTCTGCCCGCCTGTGCATGTGCATTCAGACTTCTCAGTAAACTTCCCGCAGCAAGACCAGTGGGGACGACCTGGGTGGCCCTTGTGCCCATGGCCACATCCTAGGTACCCACCTGCGTGGTACAAAGAGAGAAAAACAATCCTAGGAGTCGATTCTGGCTGGCACCATGGAAACTAAGTCTCTGGTCAATGTTTGGGCTCAGGGGAATGAAAATATCCAAGGAAAATGTGAGAGGAAGAAGCTATCGGACTCCATCATAGGCAGGAGGACTCTGAGCCACAGCATATCAACCAAGGTTACCCAAAGCTCTCAGGCAATGTTAAAAATGCACTAAGTGAATGAGACGGACTAGTCTGGACTCTCATTGTAAAATGAACTGGTGTGGATTTTAACTTAATAGGATTGAAATGAAAAGAAAAAGGAGGAGTGGAAATGAAAAAGAGGCATATCCTGAAGTGATTATCTGGAAGGTACAAAGGCCTATGTTAGAGACCACTGTTAGGGTGAGGATATGATAGAATAATTTTTAAAAAACTAATTGGGTCCCTTGCCTGAGCTTCTACCTCTCCCAAAGAGTCAGAACTGGGTTCAATCAGTTGAGTCATTCCTGCCTCATGTGGAATTTCTTTAAAGTTTTCAAAGAGATATAGTGGATCTACATCTTTCACACTGCTCAGCCTGCTGAAAGGGTTCCGAATGAAACTGTGAGTCCCACAGAGAAGCATAGTGCTCACAGGATTGGTTCACTGGATCAAAACTAAAACATCTCGGAACCCGCAAGCTTGCCATTTCAATTCAGAATAAAGCAGCTTGTTTAAGCAGAAAGCAGAACTTTTAGCACGTCTCTATACACAGAGACACTTCCTAGAACAAAGCCTCAGTCCAGACAGCCTAAGCTAGTGGCTGTGTGGCAGTGGAGGGGACCGTCACTTGATTCCTGCTGGCAGACAGGCCCGAGGGTAGTGATGTCCCCCTTACCTGGCATGGTGCCTCCACAGGCACAGCGTGCATTCCTCTGGCCTCCACTGGAGCAAAAGGTGCAGCAGTGAAATACTCCTAGGTGTGGGCGGTGCTTCCTCCTCACAGTCACGGTGAATGGGGAGCCCTTCGGTGTTCAGACCCAAAGCAAAGATCAGCACCTTATGAGCTAATGGGGCAGGCTGAGCACTGCTACATGCTCAACAGTCTAAGACAGGGCCTGCCTTTGGAGGGGCAAGGCCAGCAGGGAGAGAACTCTCAGCTGGGTGGGCACAGAAACCACTGCAGAGAAACTGGAACCAAAGAGTCTGTGCAGCCCCTATGCCATGCTTTCTACCACCCTGCAACTGAACCCACGGGACACTAAGCATGGTCCCACATGGTCAGCTCCATTTTCAGTGACATCTGAATAGGCAAGAGGGCAGAAAGACACGAAGGCCATGCCACCTCCACCAGATTAAGCTTTTTCTTAATGGATTCTGCCTCCTTTTTTACTTGCATGAAGTGAAAGTGTGTGGATCATTTGATACATTAGCCATCTTGATTTCTACTTTCATGTGACTAACTTGGGTCTTTAAGTTTCTTAATTTCAACACTTGAAGAATCTCGGAAGGAATTCATAGAATGTTACAACCACAAGGCTCCAATTTCTCAGCCACAGACTGCCTTTCCTCATTTATTGAGCTAGCCTCTCTTTTCCTGCCCCTCTATCTTGGGTACATCTGAAACCCATCCACGTATCCTGAGACTGTGAAGACACACGGAAGGAACAAAGGTTAAGTGCATGTGGTTAATCAGTCTCAAGTTAGTAACTCTTCTAACTGTCCCCTTTTCTTCAAAGATAACTTTCATAGTCTAATTTCTATCCTATATTAAACAAAAAATTAATAAATGTTGCAATTTGGCTATCCCTGTGTAAGTGCCACATCACCTGAAAAAGCAGAAAGTAGAGAGCCTGGTACCTTAGACACCTTTCCCAATGTTAAATTCCCCTCCTTTTAAAGGATAACCATGGCCTGAAACTTTCGAAACCATTAGGCAAAATAAACCTTTCTTCCTTCCTTCCTCCATGTACCAGATATTTTGTAAGTAATAAAAAGCTGACTGCCACATAATTCATTTAAAAAACAACTTGGAGTTCAAAGAAAGAGATTCAAATTCTAATTCTACTACAGAGCTACTATGTATTCTAGTCTCCATTTAATTGGACAATGATCCCTGAGCTTGAATGTTTTGAAGAAGACAACTTGCTGGTCATAGTGGTGCACACCTGTAATCCCAGCACTCAGGAGGCTGAGGTAGGAAGAGTGCCACAAGTTTGAGGCCAGCCTGGGCTATGTAGTGAGTTCAACTACAAAGCAAGACCCTATCTCAAACAAAAAACATAAAGAAAATGGAACTAAGGTATATGAAAACACTTAGCTTGTTTCTGACATACTCTGATTAAGCAAGCAATAAAGAGCCACTGAATGAGTCTTCCTAGTGCTGAGATCACAAACCTAACATACCACAATGTTGCATGGCATCCTATTACTCCCATCAGGGTAGACATCTGGTTAAATGAAAGCTCTGATTATTCCAAAGTCAACAGATGTCAGCAGAGAGATTCTGCTAGACATATACCCCAGTTTTTAAAATCTCATAAGCCAGGAAGTATTACACATAACTCTGGAGATAGTATGGTAACCACGGAAACAGATAAGCCTATATGTACAACAGACACGAGAATTACATGGGCAGATGGTTGGGCAGAGAGCTGAGAGGAGGGGCATAACCCTACACCTGCCAATTATGAAGTCCATGTCCAGTCGGTCTGAACAAAGCTGGAAATCCCTGAGTTACATGAGTTTCTTGAATGTGCACGCTTGTCTGTTGGTGGATTGTTCCCTGTGATCAAGGCATCTTCTCTAAATTAAGAATTCCAACAACTTGACTGGGGGAACAAATGTGAGTATAACTGCCAGTAGATGAAACAGGGAGAGAGAGTGCGATGATCACTAGTACCCTCTAGCAAAAATAAGACTAGCAAAATCTAGCCTGTTCCTATGGTGAAGAGAATCTTATTGAATCTCTATGCAGCTAGTCCTGTAACAAATGTCTCCAGACCTTAAGAGGACAGAACTAGTGGGGTTGGGGGTGACAGGGCCTCAGGGCTGCACATGCATGGGTCTTACCTGTACATGCTGCTCTTTGACACAGACACACACGGTATAGATCCCAGGTTCCTTTGGGGTGTAGGAAACAGAGTACGTCCCATCCTTGTTATCCCGGACTACTGTTCTGACTGGACTGAATGGAAATAAGAGTTCAAAAACCACTCCTCTCACAAGCTGCCTGTCCTTTCAGGATGTAAACTCTACACCATTCCATTCAATATTACTTTGAAATGTCCCTCAACTGAGATGTTTCTTCCACACAAAAGGTAAGCAGCACAAATCCTACTTTAGTTTGACATTCAGACAAATTCCTTAAAATGTTACTGTTTTGTTTTTTTTTTCCAAGAAGTTTCAGTTATATCTTTTTGCTGTTGTCCCTTCTCCATTTTGGAGAAATATAAATATGTTCCTGGCCCGATTTAGTAGCAAAAGTAGACTACATTTTAGGAGGGACACCACCCAGTCCAACACAGGACAGTCTTCAGTCTATTCCAAAGCTTAGAATGAAGACAACCTGAAGGGAAGACTCTATCTTTAAGAGAGAATTGAATATAGAAATAAAACCCATTATAAGAAAACACATTTATTCGGTGGCCTGCCTTGTAAGCTCAAAGACCCGAGTTCAATCCCCAGTACCAAAACACACACAAAAAAAGAAAACACATTTAAGTCAAGTGTGGTGGTGCACACCTATAATTCCAGCACCCCAACAGGTCTGAGGCAGGAAGACTGGAAGTTTAAGTCTAGTCTGGGCAATTCAAGGACTCAGAGAGATCCCACCTAACAATTAAAAATAAAAATGGACTGCAACGTGAAAGCCATGGGTTCGATCCTCAGTACCACAAAAACAAAACATTTGGCCCTATTAGTCATACCATGGTTTTTTCACAGAATTATGGCAAGGTAAGATAATGACCACAGCTACATCTCCAGTTACTCAAAGGACCTATTTCCAGTTTCCTTACTGCTGATTACTCATGACACCTATTGCATTAACACAAACCTGTCCTTCTTATCTTTAGGGACAACTGCAACATGGACTCTGTCTCCTCCCCTGCCCATGCTCTCTCCTGCAGCATCCTTACAAAATAAGGTGAAAGAGGCGGTCTGTTTCTCCCGAGCTCTGTGCAGATCTGCAAAAGACAAACACTCACCTCAAAGACAAAGTGCGTGACCACATCCCCAGATCAGACACCATCTTACTTTTTCTCTTCAGAATGTTCTGCTTCCTGTTTATTGTAACCATGCTGCTCCCTTTCTTTTCCCTTCCCCTCCAGCCTCCCAGAGTATCCCTTCTGAACTCCTCCTGAGAGCCTAGTTGGCTTTCAGCCAGCAGCTGCTTTTGACTCACACAGGACCTTAACCTCAGACCTAAGGAAATTTTGAAAATACTAAGGATTGATGTAGGTATTCAGAGAAGAAAGGTAGAACTGACTGGAAGAATGCCAGAGAACAGTAACCCCAAACTACCCTCTGCATGCTCAGAGTTCTGTTGGAATAGGCAGGGGGAACAGCTGACCAGCATGGATCCTCCACATTGCGAGGTCCTCTGCAGTTCAGTGGCTCCTGCCAAGGCGCTGGAGAAATATCCAGCAGTTATAGCCCCTGAGGCAGCATGCACATGAAAGCCAGTGTTCATGAACTATTAGGAGGTCTGTGGAGAGGCTTATGAAGGGTATAAGAATCTTCTGAAACTGTATGGTGCAGCTGGTGGATGTTTCTGGGGCAGAGATTCTCAAAGGGATCTGTAACTTCCAAAGAGTTAAGAAGTTATTGCTAGGGTCAGGATGACTCTTAAATACGGTCTTCCCATCAAGACTGATCTATAAAATGTATGTTCAAAAGACATGCCAGGCATAGTGGCACTCAGGAAACAGAGGCAGGAGGATTGACATGGGTTCTAGGCCAGCCTAGGCTACATAGTAATTCCAAGGCCATCCTGAGCTACAAAGTGAGACCCTGTCTAAAAAAAAAAAAGACATACTTTCTTAGGGAAGAGAACACCAATCAAAATAAACCATTTTTTTCCCTAGTGAAGAAAACCCCAACCATATCTAAGGACCATTGATCCTTGAGTTCTTTGGTTGTTACTTTTTGCAGCAGAAAAGAGTTAAGCCTCATCCCCATATTAAATTTTTTTTTTGTACAGGGGATCGTTGGGTCCTTGCACTTGCAAGGAAGGTAGAGGAACCACGGAGCCAAATTCCTGGCCCCTCCCATATTAAATACTAACTGCACTCTCACCTGAACAAATCAGAAATAAAAGGGTAAGGTGTAGTAGTGTGTGTGGGGGGGTTACTCGTTCTTGATCAATGTGTCTCATAATAAACTGGTCAGGAGGGGAGCTCTTCCAGCTGCACTAGCCACAATTCTTTCAGTATCATAGCCCTATGCCCTGCCCTCTCAGTGCCACTGAGAAATGCCTTCCTACCTTCTCCTTGAAGGACACATTTGGCTGGATCAACTTCTTTGGTAAGAATGGTCCCATACACTTCATAGCCATGGCACCGGCCTGCTTTCTCCTGAGGAGAGAAGCATATCTTATCGTTTACTCCACGATGGGTGCTGTACTCGACTCTGTTCAGCTTCCTGAGTCTTTCTACTACCACCCGCTTGGTGACGAGGATCTCCAAGTCTGAGCCACTGGTCAGCAAGTGCTCAGTGAACTCTACACCTGTCCGCATGTCTGCCAGCAGCTGTTCCAGCTGAGCTTTCTGCAGCTGCAGGGAGTTTTCCTTCTGGACCCGTATGTCCTCCAACTGCTTCAGCAGCTTGTCCCGATGCTCCTCGATGGCCTTGATGTAGCCCTCGGAGAAAGTGCGGACATCAGCCGCCACTGCCTCCACTCGCTCCTGGAGGGCCCCGTTCATCTCTTTGACTTGAGCCAAAGCCTCCTCCAGGGCCTCCACATGGGGCTGTGTGCCTCTGAGGAGCTCCCGCACGGAGTCCCCATGCTTGTGAATGACGTTGCTGGTGAAGTCGTAGGGGTGCTCCCGGTGTTCTCCCACAATGCAGTCCCGGCACACCGGACGGTCACAGAGCTCACAGAACAGCCTCAGCTCCTCCGCAGGGTGAGCAGAACACAGGATGGGCTTTCCAACCCGGCTGTAGCCTTTCAGATCTTTCAGGTCCACTATGGTATGATAAGTTGTTTTCTTCTGCCGTCTAGGAACAAGCAGAAAGAGGAAATTAGGGACCGACTCCAGGTAGGAGACAATTTGGTAGAGAGGTTTTAGGAAGATGGGCTCTGAAGTTCAATCTGAGTTCCATCCCTAGGAATCTCAAACTGCATGATCTCCTCTGGTTCTAGTTATTCATCTGTACTCTAAGGCCAATACCTACCTAGGTAAAGGGGCTGATTTTTAGAACAAAATGCGATTACACTTTGGCTTTGGCTTGGGATGTCATTGCTAAAGGCTATAGTGCTAAGACTGTGTCTTGAAACTTCCCTCACAGAGTTAATTTGTTAAGATCAGACCCATAGCTGGCTTCTTACAGCAAACTAAAGGTAACAGTTGAAAACTATCATCAAGAGACACAAACTGTGCCAGGTGGTATAGCAATTAAAAAGCAGTTTGCTGGCCCTGATTTAAAAAAATAAAAAAAGTCTCATCTGGCTTTCATCTAAGCTTCCTTCTAAATGCATCTAAGTATTTCCTTTGACCAGTACCTACATCACCCACATTAGCAGGCTAGAATTTTCCTCAAGAGTCATCAATACTATTAGAATGTGAAATCAACGATCAGTAGAATCAAAGCTCACTTTTAATTCCTCTTTTCTATAGCCTTCTAGAGATTTGGGGAAATGCCTAGGAAAGTGAAATGACTACTAAGAGTTTCCCATTAGCATTATATCAACTTGACACTAACATGCTATTTCTGGCACCACAAGAGGGGCTGCGCAGAAAACAAGGTCAGCTGTTTAGCTGAAAGCAAGGCAGAAGTGGTACTATCACACATAATTACAGGTTAAAAATAGAATGAAGACTACTAACTTGTTCTGTTCGTGAGGTCAGAAAACAAATGGAAGTCTGAACTTTAAAATGATTTTAGGCTACTTTCAAAAACGTTCATTTTATATTCAGATGTCGCAGAGTGGGGAGGAGAGTAAGAAGAACAAAGAGTGATCCACCTAACAAGAGTCACCGAGTGCGATAAAAGACAGAATGGACATCTCAGTGAACATCTATCAGCCCACACACCAGCTACAGGGGTACTCTGGGGTTTAAGGCACAGGCTGAGGTGAGACCCAGCCAATCGGCATCCACATTGAGAAGGAAGAAAGATTTGTAAACGAACACAGAATAGCCAGATCTGGATTTAACTCTCAGTTCTGTTACACGCTTAGCAAGGGTGAAAAAAAAATCACAAAACATCCTGAGCCAGTTTCCTCAATGAATAAATGGGAATGAAGATAGTGCCTTCCTTTTCATAGGCGTTGCAATGATCAAATGAGATCAAAAGCTGGACCTTTGCTACTGTATTCATCCTCCTGTTTCAGCACCTAGTACAATTATTCACCACATAAATGACCGATGACTGAAGGAATACTAAAAATGCTTTGAAAACTGAAGAGGACCGTGCAAACCTTTATTGCTATTATTACTACAGGTATTATGTGAGGCTAATGGGTATAACTGCTCTAAAGTATTTGTTATTGTATTGTATATTGCCTTTACTTTTCATTTGAGGTATTTGAGAACGCCTTCCTTTCGATATGCCCAAAGAATTTGTCTTGACACCTTTTTGTGTTCCACTCTTAAGCCACAACAGGTGGGGTACCCCATCTTTACCTATGAGCCTGGCAGCAGAAGTGGCAGAGATTGGCTTTGCAGGTCTGACACCTCTTCTCCACTTCCCTGTCGTTGCACAGGTCACACACCAGGCCCTGGCCTTCTTCACGCAGGCTCTCCAGCATCACATCATTCATGGCCAGGTGGTCTATGGTTAAAGCCTTCACTCCACCCCTGGGCAGGTCCACCTGAGCATCACATACCGGACACAGGATGCCGATCTGCCGCTGAAGACTTTGAGGCTTGCGTTCCTGGAATACTGACCCTTCAGAGCTTGTATCAGAGTCTGCTCCTCGGATGTCCATTACAGAGAAGGGTTCCAGGTTCTCCAGACAAGTGGTGCAAACGGTGTGCAGACATGGCAAGAGTCTGGGGGCTTTGAAAAGCCCCATGCACAGAGGGCAGTGAGTCTTCCCTGAGTTCCCAAGTGCAGGCCCACTGGGGAGTTTGTGCACGAAACCCAGCAGAGGCTTCTTGTTCTCTGACATATTTTCCCACGTCCGTGGCCCCTATCAGAAATGGCCTTGGACAGCGCTACAGTGCAGTCGCTGATTAACCTCACCCAAAGACAAAGTTCCCAGAACTTGAGCAGAGACCATGAGGACTCTGTTGTTGGCAAATGGGAAGTAGAGGATGCCTCCAAGGAACCACCCACAGATCTACTCAGGATCTGTGGTAGGGCCGCTTCCTTTCCATGGCATCCCATACCAGACACGCCTACCCCTCCTCGGTCCCCTAAATCCTCCTTCCCCGATGGGCTTTCTTAGCTAGTCTTTCCATCTCCGTTACCGCTGCATCTCGCGCTCTCTATGGCTACCCCTCCCCCCAATGGTCTCGCCCTAGACACGCGAAAAGCGCCACCCCGCCCCTGTGAGATGAGGTAAGAGGTCTTCAAGCTCCTTCCCTCTCGGGGGGCGTACAACGAGAACTTCAGCGGCAAGAGACTCCAACGACTGCTAAGAGGCCACAAACCTCCCCACCCTTCGGTTTAGCTATCGCTCTCCTCGCACCAATCCTAGCCCGGATCAGCTCCCTAGAGTCCAATCACCGCCCAAGAGAGGCGGTCCTCGACACTCAAGCCGCACCGCCCATTGGAGTGACGCCAGCATCATCCAATAAGATTGGGAAGTTCCACAGCCGCTCACACTATTGGAGAGAGAGCGAGGGACCAAACTAAGTGTCGGAGGCGGGGCGAGGAAAAGAGGAAGGCTGAAAGGGAGCCGCAGAATATAGCCAGCGTTACCATTTTACGAGGACAGTACCTCTATCTCTGGCGACCAGAGAAACCTCAGGACCAAAAATCTACGCTGCTGTGCTGCGAGGCTTCCTTTCCGTCCCTGGGTTGGTGCATGGTCTCAGACTGGATCTTCCATTGGTGTTTTGCGCTGTCAGTCCGCTGCGGCGCTCCGTGCCCCGGAGCTTGCTGGGAGTTGTAGTCAGTTTTTTTCCTGGGCCCGGAGACGGGTTCCAAACGGCGCACGTTTTTACCTCAGGAGCTCAGAAAAAGGGGCGAGGATTCCCGTCTTGGCCTCTTGTGCTTATTTCAGTCCCGGAATCCCTCAGGGTTAGCATGTCGGTTACCATAACTCCCATGGCTTGCTACCTTCTGCCAATTTCCCGAGGGTAAGGGCACCTCAGGTCTGGTTCTGGGAACCACTATGTAGCCAAGCTCTGGAATTGGGAACTGGACTTTTGATAACTGGCGCTCAAAAAGTCTTTGTTTCATCCTTTCGGACGAAAGTGTATATGACCAAGGGAGTTAAATATTTGTAACCTGGAACTGTACAGTTATCCCTGACGGAAATTAATAGAGCAAATTTGGCCACTGGTTAAGGCGTTTGTTTGGGTCCTGAGGATCGAACTTCCGGCTCCTTGGAGTGCTAAGCAAGCGCTTTAAGACTGAGTTAAACCCCCAGTCCCGGCCTCAGTTTTATCCGTCAATCAAGCGGGCTCCTGACTGGTCACAAAGGGTGAGTGGAGGTTGTCGTGAGACGCAAGCCTTTGTGTTCATCAACTAATTAGGAAGATAGACCCAACCGGCACCCTTAGCATTATAATTTCCTTGTCTCTTGTACTGTACTCTCCTCACCAGGGGCCTCTGACGAAGTTATATGAGGCTTTGCTACGCTTAGTATTTGGGACCCTGGTCTCCAAAATTCCAAAGGGTAACACGTTACCTCCCAACCCTTCATCTGTTCTATTTCCAGTCCCTTGAGCCTACCTCATATGCCAGTCGGTCTCACTATTTTATGTGTTTATGCCATTGCCTACTTGATTTGGACCCAGAGACAGCTGTTTTATTGTTGTCTTTATTAAACTATAGAATTCACACCATGGGCATAGTGCCCGAAGCATAATCTTTTAAAAATATGGAATTGGAGGGCTCCAAAATATGAAAAGAAAGCTATAAAGTAAAACAGATGAAATGTCTGAGGATTTCTGAAGTATTTTATGTTAGGCTGGGGATACCGCTGAGTGGTAGAGCAATTGCCTAGCAGAAGTGAAGCTCAGGGCTCATCCTCAGCACTGCAAAAAAGGAGGGTGGGTGGAGAGATCTCATTTGATTTGCCTTTTTTGTGAGGGACCTGATCTACTTCTAGTTGCAGCATAAGTCAAATATAGCACATCAATGAGTCAGACACTTTTGTATAATAATAAATTACATATAATTTTTAAATGTAAGTATGCTTACAAAGGTCTTAAAATAGTTCTTACCTAAATTTCTTCAGCATCTTGTCCTCCAGGTTTATCCTGACTTTGAATCTGCTTTCTCTACTCCTCTATGCTGGTGTGATTCACAAAAACTATGGGGACTTGGGTTTGCTATATATTCTTTCTCTGAACTACACTCTACCTTCCCTGCTGCATAGTTATGCTTTGTTTCATCTCTTATTCATGCTGTATCACATTTCCTAAGGCAAGCATATCAGATTTCTCTTTGTTAAGAAGTGCTTTATAATTAATGTGTGCATCATCTCATTTAATTTTCTAACAACCTTCATGAGTATGAAAGAGGTTTGGTGGCCAAAGTAATGTATCTGGACTTACACACTTTATATGATACCACGTCTAAGACTCTTCCCCTATGACTTCATCTTTCTGTCTTGAATTCTTAAGCATTAAATTTCTCACACAACTCCTAACTACCTAATTGAGTGAGAAGATGGGGCTATTGAAAGAATTCCTTCACCTTTCAACCTAAAAATCTATAATCCTTTGCCCCACCCCCCCAGGGGTTTTTTGTTTGTTTGGTTGGTTTGGTTTTGTTTTTTGAGACAGGGTCTCACTATGTAGTTAAGACTGACCTGAAACTCACTATGTAGTCCAGGCTGGTCTCGAACTCGCAATGATCCTCCTGCCTCAGCCTCCTGAGTGCTGGGATTACAGGCGTGAGCCACCATGTCCGGCTTTAAAAATCTATGATTCTTCACCCTTCTTCTCTTATACCTCTTCTGATTGATATTCTTCTATTTCAAAGTTAGTCCCTCAAGATCTTTGTTCTTTATCCCAACCTTGCTTCACTTATGTTTTCAATCTGTCGTTTATTAATGTGTTCTTTCTGTCAAGAATTACCATCAAATCCTGAAGGGAGAAACAAATCCTCCCTTAACCCAGCTCCCCTCCAACTTGTTTAACTTTTGCCACTACATTTCTCAAGAGTAATTTCACTCTGCTTTTATCACCATATTCTCAGTGTTATCCTCACCATCCGTTTATTACTCTCCTCCTTTCTGTTGAAATTTTTTTTTGTGAGTCACAGGTGACCATATTGCTGGACTGGTCTCAATATACACTCTGTTTGGTATTTACCATTGTTGTGTACTTCATCATCCTTAAAACTTTCTTTTTCTTTTTGGCTTCTGTGTTGCTCTGTGGTCCTGGTCTTATAATCTCTCACACGCTCTCCTTCTTTAGTTCTCGTTTGTCCATTTTATCCTCCTCACCCCCATGTTTTCTCTTATGCAGTTGCTTCTCAAATTCACACTTCCAATACTGATTTGGCTCCTAATTTTGTTTCACAAACATCTGTTATAAATCTGCTCCCAAATATATCCCCATCATCTTAACCCCCAACATGTATTAAATTTCTTTGCTTATTAAACTATGCTCTCTGAATTTTCCTATTCTGAATTGTCTCCAGCGTATCATCATTCTCCCTTCCCTCTGGCTTGAAACCTTGTAGTACTCCTGGCCTCATTTCTCTTCTTCCATATCTAGGGATGTACCATTTTCTTTCTATTCTCATTGCCAACACATTACTGCATAATATTTTAAAGATGTTACAGCTCCTACCATGCTCACCTCAAATATCACAGTAGTCTCTGAATTATCCTTGGCCTCTGTTTTTTAATTGCTGTCATTCAACTTTCCAAATTAATTGTAAAAGCATGCTAAAAATAGTATAAGCCAATCCTCATAAAATCTTCAGCAGTTCCTCGTCTTAGGAGGATATCTGGATTCCTTTACAGATTCATGAAGCCAACTTTTTAAACAGTCCTTAAATATTGCCAAGCACATTTCTTGGTCTTTGACAATTTGTCTTCAACAATCATTATTATTTTAATGTACTCATCCTTATATGTCAGGCCTGCTTTTCAGTATCTCCTTGAAGCTTTCTCTACATTATTTCAGAGCTCCAGATTTGATCTTGAATGCTCTTTTAACTGTATTATTCACTTTGCAGTTTGTGCTTCCTCGTAATACTGTTGTATGTGTGTGTGTATATGCCTATGTATATTTACATGTATAACAAATGCACATATATATTATGTATAAACATATAATTCATGGATATTTGTGGATATACATATGTATTCTCTGTCTCTCTGTTAAGATGAATAATTTGGAAATCAATCTAGTGCCTTCACAGTAGGCATTTGATAAGGACTTGATATTGGTGAGTCAGAAAATGGTGTTCTCAAACAATGATGGAACTCACAGGATCACACTCAACCAAGAGTTTGGTGGATAGTGCAGACTGTAAATTATACAGATTGTGATCAAGGGATAAGGGAAGATTAGTTAAGGATGCTCCTTTCTTAGAATTATTAGTTCAGTGTCCTGCTCCTTTCTCACACATTGCGTCATTTGTCTGGGGACCCTAGATAGCAAATAGTTACAGGGAAGTGTCACAGCTGTGGGCTTAGCAGGACATAGCCATGCTTAAGTCTGTCCTTTGACCCTGTGCCCATCTCTAACTCCCAATTTCTTTCTTCCTCTCGCTAGTCAAAGCTCTTGAAAAGAACAGCCTACAACTTGCTTCTCTAATTCTTTTCTTTGCATTTTACTCCTTAATATAGTGTAGTCTGTCATTTGCTGTCACCATTGCTCTGAAATGGCTTTTAACCACAGTCACTCTAGCTTGCTATTTGCTAATTTCAGTGGATACGTTTTAGTTCTTACCTACCTAGATTTGCTATAGCTTCTGACACAGTTTTCTTCTTGAAACCTGCTCCTTTTTTTTATTGTCATGCCCTAGTCCTGATTTTCCTTCCACTTTCTGTCCCTCTTACCACTCCTCTTTTGCACTTCAGTGTACTACTTCCACTAGATTTTCTTTGTGTTTTTGTTGTTCCAGTACTGAAGACCAAACCCAGGGCTTCACACATACTAGACAGGTGCTGGGCTATTGAGCTATATCTCCAACCCTCCCCTAGATTTTTAAATGTGCTGTTTGCCAGGATCCTTAAGCCCTGTTTTTCTTTTAATCTCTTTGCTTCCCTTGTTGGTGTGGGGTTTGGAGATGATGTATATCAAGGCTCCTGTTACATGGGAGCTCATTTTACTGGTAACGTTATTATCTTCATCATAGCTTGGAATTCATCCCCTCCTTTCCGTTTCTACTCCCTGCTGTGGCTCAAGCTTTTATATTTTGTTTGGATTCTAGTTGGTATCTCTATTTATAATCCATTTTTAATAATTCTTTTAGTGATCCTTGTAAAATTTCGATTTGACGTGCTCCTCGGTAGCTCTTCATTACCTTTATTTACTCATCCTATCTTTGGAACACTGCAATCACAGTTTCCAAGAAGGTAGGGACTTTTGACTCTGTTACAGGCGCTAAAGATACATCATGATTAGAATAAGCAAAAGCCCTGTTCTGTGGAATTTACCTTTATACCAATTAACCATTATACAATTTACCAATATACAATTAACATTATAACTATACTGTATAGTAGTTATGTTTGTTATATAGTAATTTTATTTTTATTGTGCAAATATGTATTATATAATAATATTTAGTAAACATTATAACTACATTGCGTAGAAGGTGAGAAGCGCCATGGTGAAAAGCGAAGCATAGCGAACATTATCCATAAGGCAAGGTGGGTGTATTGCAGTTTAAATGGAGTAATCAGGATAAGTCTAGTTGAGAAGGTGATATTTGAGCAAAGACTTGGAGGTGAAGGAGTGACCTATGCAGATGATTTGAAGGGGAAAAAGGTAATCCAGGTAGAAGTCTGCTCTTTGTGGTGTGTCTGAGCAATGGCTAGGAGGCCAGTGTGATTAGCAGTGTGAGTGAGGGGGAAGGAGTGGGATTGCCTTCAAGATAAAATTCCGCATGTCTTTAGGTGTCATGACTGTGCTTCTGAAGTCAGGCAACCTCGTTTATGCACCGGACCATTCCAACCAACAGTGGGAATTCTTTTTTTTCCCCCTTTTTTCTTTATTGGTACATTTTAAGTATACAACACAGTTAACGTTCATCATAGGGATCTTGTACATGATATATCTTGGTTCTTATGTTTTCCCCATTCCCCTGCCCTCCCTTCACCCCCCCACCCTTCCCTATTTACAGAGACTTTATTTCCATTTTTTTCTTTTCTCTTATTTTTTCTTTTCCCTTCTTAGCTTTCCCCACCCCTCCCACTTCCCCTTGACCTTTAGACATTTTTTCCTATTACACAATATCAATTATACATTTTGATCCTTATTTACATTTTGAGCTTCTCACACCAGATGAACT